CAATTTCGGAGGCTCCCTGGGATCATATCCAGCTACAGCACTTAAACACATCCCAATGTAATCTGCTTCAAACTGTTGCCTTAAACAAGCACATCGCATTATTGCATCACAAAATGGCTATGCTACGTACATTTTTAGGAGAATTTTATCTCCAACCAAAAAAAAAAAAAGAATGAGAATTTTACCACTACCCTCACTCCTTAATACAAGAGCCATATAACTAATTTGCATATATTAAAAAAAAAATTGGTTAAATTGTTATTTGTAACAAGTCTGTGTACTGACTTTTCTAGAATACTCTCTTTAATTATAATATGTGTTGAAATTACCTTTTGGTAGGAAACTCTTTAATACTACTTTTGTTCTTTAATAAAATCCAATTGACTAATTTGGAAAGATGAAGAAAGTTATTAAATTATTTAATTATAACATATATTACATGATTTCTTTAAAATAATTATGTGCATTATTAGATTATATATTAATTTACAAGTGAGATAAATTAATTTGGAGAAAAATGATAAATATAAATATTTAAAGTAATTAATTAGTAACTTTTTTAATCTCTTCAAATTAGTCTCAAGAGCCTACTTATTCCCTTTCTAATTCTTACGAATCTCTCTCTCAAACAAAGGAGAGAATGTATTCAGCTCAACTGAGTTTTATATTAAGAATCAAAGATAGTAATATGTTCAATCAACAAGGATATTTTGAAAAAAAAATTACAAAATTAGGTGACAAAGTAAATTGAAGTCTTATATTTAAGACCAAATCTAACCTCCAACTTAATCTTTTATCAAGGAATGGATATAGTATTTCAACACATCCAAACCTAACAATAAAGTCATGGAGCCAACTAAAAGATGTCCAAAATTAATTAGTAATTGAGAGTGAATATAGCTTACTTCCAAAAGATACGCATGACCAAATCAACATAGTTATACATGAATGCATCCCGCAAGCCAATTGGATTGATTCGATTGAGTATGGTCTTCATAGCTGCAAAGCAATATGCTACTGTCAAGTTTTCAGCATAATGTCGAGCCAAGATATGCCCAGTCTAAAACAACATAACATACCAAAGATGAAGATACATAATTAATAAGGACCCAAACGACTGCAACACCATGTGTGTGTATATAGGGAAAATACTCATGAAATTTCTTATATCTATTTTGTCAAATTCTTTAATCACAATTAGCCTCATGTCCTTTTTTATTTTTTACTTGGGCTTACATTTTAATAATAATATTTTAAAACTTTTAGTATTAAGAAGCAAATTTATCCTGAAAGTTTTCACTCAAGAGCATTAGGTATCTAAAAAAATTTTAGAAGCAAATGTACTTTGAAAATTTAAAATCATTGTAATATTGCCCCATGCCAAAAAAAAATTAATGTTGATGGTCACGGTCCAAAAAGTTGATAAGAGTTTATAAAGAGAAGAATATTAAGTCAAATTATAAACCCTAGGTGAACATGCTCGTAGGTGATAACTATTTAAATAATATCTATACCTAGAACTAGTATATAAATATCAACCAAACAATTATTTTCAGAGCTACTTAACATGTGAAATTCAATTCGAATTACAATTTGTTTCTCAAAACAAGAATATTTAAATGATATATTCTTCAAAAGTAAGTTAGCACTAAACTTAGTTCATAACTTTTCATGCAATCCTAAAAATAGCATATTATAATAACATGAAATAATTATGAGAGGAAAACGGATTTATAAATAAGCTTACAAATTATAATTGAAAAAGAAATTCACATTAATAATCAAAAGAACCACATCTAAGGGTTTCAAAATCTAAACTAGAAAATCATAAAAACTTACATATGAAAAATTAAAACTCTCATTACAACTCTTATAGGTTAAACCATGGACTTAAGCCGCAACATCTGTCCTCAAGAATAAAGGAGACTAGCCACTCATGCCACTCGTGACTAGAATCAACACATCATATTGATAAAGAGAGAAAATGAAAATATAAAGATGAAAATAGAGAGAATCTGACGCTTTCTTCACTCACTCTACAACTTTCACAAGCTAATGAAAACTTTTGGGATAAACCTACGCCTTAACCCAAAATTTTAACTCAAGAATTTAACATAATAGGCATAAGTAACTTGACCTAGGTAGTATTGTTATATAACTCACGTCCAACGAGGAATGCTATCTCTGCGTCACTGGTGATATGCTCAAGCATCCAATCAAACATTACAATCTTCCCACACAGTACATAAAAAGGCATCTCCAGAACCACTCACCACGAATACCTCCCACTTTGATACATTCAAATGTGACGACGTAGTACTAAGTTGTGAACCTTATCATTGGATCTCAACCTCGTATGCATCAATCATGTCCTAAGCTATTCGTCTCACCGTATTGCTTTCAGGGTGTGTATCAGGCAATGTCTGTCTTCAAAAGACTCTTTCTTTTCCTGAAATACTTCTCTCTATTTTTCCTCAATATAGACTCAGAGAAGAGAACAAAAACGCCGTGCCCATATTCGGTTGAACCAGCTCTTACGCGGATCAAGTGAAAATGGATTCAGGGGGTGTTTGGATAAGGTAAAACCATGGTTTGTAGAATAGCTTCTGGAGAATAGATTTTGGAGAGAATAGATTTTGAAAGAATAGCTTTTCTGAAAAAGTGATTCTGATAAAGTGAGAGTGTTTGGATAATTATTGTCAAAAGTACTTTTTGATATGTAGAAATTACTAAAAAAGATATAAGTTTAAATGATAATTACATGTAAGATATATTTCATAATATATGTTTATTTGAAGTAATAAATTTGTTAATAATATATATTTTGGCAATATAATAAATAAGACATAAATAATAAAAAATTAATGTGTATATATATTAATAATATAATTAAATATGTTTTTAGGAAAATGATTTATTTTGCCAAAAAAAATATTTTTATTTCTTAAAGATGACGCCTTGTAACCGAGAGTGAAGGAATAATAATTGACGCGTTGTAACATTTCCTGGGCCCACCTCCAGCTATCAATAATTTGAAGGTAGAAGCTCCTCCGGATGGCTTTTTTCCAAACCAAGGTTTTGGAGGCCCAAACCATGGTTTCAAATTTTTTTGGAGTGTTTGGCTGATTTCTCGGACCCAAACCATGGTTTGGGGACCCAAACCATGATTTGGGGAGAAAGCCAAACACCCCCTAAATCATTTTGGGGGAAGAAAAAATGAAAGTTATCCCAATTTATTATCTACGACAACAGAAAAATAAAGCACCAATAACAGAGCACCAAAATCAGATGCAGCTTTGGACTATCATTAATCCCATAAAAACATAGCAGCAAAACTCCAAAAGCTAATGATAATGGTGATGCCCAGACTAAGGGGGTGTTTGGATGAAACCAAACCATGGTTTGAAGAATACCTTCTGGAGAATAGATTCTGGAGAGAATAAATTTTGTGAAGAATAGATTTTGTGAAAAAGTAATTTTGAGAAGTGAGAGTGTTTAGATAGTTGTTATCAAAAACACTTTTTATATATACAAATTACTAAAAAAGACATAAGTTAATATGATAATTACATAAAAGATAGATTTTATGATATATTTTAATTTGAAGAAATAAAATTGTTAATAATATATTTTTTATCAACATGATTAATAATACATAAGATAATATAATTAATGAATAATTAATATGTGTATATATATTTATAAGATATAAGATTAATATGTTTATAAAAAATTACTTGAGGGATGTTAAAGTCATATTATTGTTGAGATCTACTCTGGTAGACACAATCATACTCTCCAATTTGAGCCAGAAGCAGAATGGATTCACTTCTCCTGAAACCATAGTTTCAGATTATGGCATCAAAATTGATGCTATTTGATGACATTCTACCCAAACCATGACTTTGGGAGTCACCCAAACAGGCCCTAAGTGTAATATTGTGTACAAGATAAAAGGAAAAACAATAAAGTACACCACCTCTTTTATAGGTTGGCCAAAAAAAAAAAACGAAATAAAGAGCTAAGAAATGAAATGATGATATTATATTATATTATTTTTATTTATTTCGATTTATCCGACTGCAGCCCAAATCTTGAGCCTTCCAGCGGCGCCAATATCTCCTCCGCTCCGCGGACCAAATCCGGCATCAATCTTCGGCGAGTCCTGCCGCCGATTCCATGACCCTGACCCGATCCTCGACCACTGAAAGCGACGACCAGAATCGAAGCCCCACGGGAGCCACAGGCATGAGGCTCATAGTGCCTCTCCAAGGCGCAGTCCAAGGCAGAGGAGGCCTTCTTCTTGGTTCTGTCATCCCCCGTGCTCTCTTCTCAAACGGAACCGTTACAAAAACTCCTCGAATCCTCCATCCCCCTCTTCGTCCTCCTCTAATCTCCCGGACCTCCCTCGATCATCGTCCCGCACCAATTTGTCCAGCCGTGGATCCATTGTAGGAGAATCACAGGGCAACGAAATCAAATTATTTGACAATTCAAAGTGGTAACTCCAGAACGAATGAGAAACAAGATATACAAGAATTATCAGGGAAAATGATTCAGTCAAAGAGCATGCGTGAAGAGCAGCATTGCGTTTTGACCTTGATGGCTGCAAACACCCGTAGCTCCATAATTAAGGTGTGATTTGCTCTTAAATTTCGGACAGATTAGCTGTATCAATGTATAATTCAAACATCAGTTAACTATGACACTACTCAATTACGATTGACTTCAAAGTGCTCAGCAACATTAACAGCACTAAATTTGGAAAGTGTGGACCAGTGAATTCAATTATACTCTCACTTCCACAAAAGGAAAAGACAATCCAATCACCCAGCAACGTAGCCGACCGCCAGGTGATGAAGGGAAAAGAAGGGTAGAGGAGAGGGTGGAAGGGTAGAGGAGAGGAGGGGAAGGGTAGAGGAGATCTGAGAATCTGGGTCCTATAAAATCTGGATAACGCTCAGTGCCCAAACTCAGATCCCACGTTTTCAGAATAGCAAGGCAGCACGTTGAGGAACCCACAGCTCTAATCAATGTCGACCAAGCTAAGGTATGAGTTTTGAAAAGCCAGACAATGAACTGGAAATTGCCGATGACATTGAGAATAATTTCGTCTGGTTTCTGCAGGTTGGAGGGTAAGGTAGCCATAGTAACCGGAGGAGCCAGTGGGATCGGAAAAGAGTCGGTGCAGTTATTCGCGGAAAACGGAGCATCGGTGGTCATAGCAGACATCCAAGACGAACTGGGTCACCAACTCGCAGCTTCGTTGGCCCCACATAAAGTGAGCTACCATCACTGTGATGTGAGCGACGAGAAACAGGTGGAGCAAACTACAGCTTTCGCCGTCGACAAATACGGCCGCCTCGACGTCATGTTTAGCAACGCCGGCGTCGTAGGCTCCATGGAAGACATACTGAACCTAGACCTCAAGGCATTTGACAAAACCATGGCCATCAACGTCCGCGGCGTGGCTGCCACCATCAAGCAAGCGGCTCGAGCCATGGTGGCTCATAACATCCGTGGCTCCATCATCTGCACGGCCAGCGTGGCTGGTTGTGTGGCCGGATGCGCTCCCCATGATTACACCGCATCGAAGCATGCTCTGGTGGGCCTCGTCCGCTCTGCTTGCTGCGAGCTCGGAGCTTATGGGATCAGAGTGAACTGCGTGGCGCCATATGCTGTCGCCACCCCTCTCGTATGTGAAGCGCTTGAAAAGGGGGTAGATGAAACCGAAGCCCTTGCCGATTCTTGCGCTAACATGAAGGGTATTTCATTGAAGGCTTCCCATGTTGCTGAGGCTGCCCTCTTTCTTGCTTCGGATGAATCTGTGTATATCAGTGGACATAATCTGGTCATCGATGGAGGCTTCACTGTCATTAGTCGCTTCCCTTGATTTCTTGAGAACTTTCATGAAACGTTGGCTTTTTGCCTCTGTGATTGATGTGTTGAAGGTGTGGGAGAAGAGTGTGTGAGTGAAGTATATTTAAATAAGGTCTTTATCTCTCATTATTTCTAGAATTTGGGGTTAGCTGTCTTCCCAAAAGAGTTAATGTTTATATACATCGACTGCCCTATCATGGTCGATGCATTATATTCATCCTCCTAACCAATTGTTGTGCTTCAAATAAATCCATGCCTCATCATATAATAATTAGCCCGGAGTCTTATTTCACTCAGATTAAATCCACGCACAAATTGAAGTTTGATAGGCATGATTATTGTTTCTTTTAATACAGCCAGGTGATATTTATTAAATATTACTAACTAATTTAAATTTCAATATAATATCAACCCCTCTGTAGCAAGAGCAAGCGCTTCATCAGTTCATCCTACACCCACCCAAATCCAAAAGAGGTTGCCCATGCATTATCATACAAGGAGGGGTTTGATAATCCAAAGCACGAAATTTCAAATCATCATGAGTTTAATCTTTACAGGTACAAAAGTCATTGTAGTACAACATATATAGGAATGTCATAAACATAATTAATTGAATTGTAAGCTAATGAGAATTGATTTAAATAGTTTCAATGAGAAAAAGACTAACTATAAAATGTCAAATCTATTTATACGTAAGCATAAAAAACTATGAAAAGTCATGATATTTATAGGTCTGAGTATTACAATATAATGTTTTTGATTTTATAATTACCTAATTCATGAAAATTAAGTAATTTGATTATTTATCTATAAAAATTATGTGTCGGTTTTCTTTGAAAAATACTTCACTTTGTAATAAAGATATTTAGATGGGAGATATAAAGAGGATATGAAATATTATGAAATTAAAAAGAAAAATGTGATAAAAAAAAACTAAATACAGAGACAAAGTGACTCAAAATTCTAACGCGTAATCAAATTTCGTTTATCAATTATTAGGTCATATATATTAGAGCGAAGAAATGGTCTTTAAATTTTATGCAAAACACAAATTAAACGTTGCAGTGACATATAACTAGAAGTTTAAAAAAAAAAAAAAGATTTATAGTAAAACAATGTGCGAGGTTAATTAATATTGTGACATTGTTACTATTTATAGCAAGACCAGGTGCTTCGTCAGTTCGCTGCGCACCCACCCATTGGTCAGAACTAAAACTACCAGTCACGCACCAAGTGCTTGGCCATTATAACCCAAGCGAGCGACTTCCACAGCTTTTCTTTCTTCTTCCTCTTCTGCAAGATTAAACGCCAGGATGCCCGAAACGAGGTAATCTGAACATGACATTAGATTTCGTGTGTTTTGGCATTGTGGGAGTGGCCTTAAATTAATAGGAGCCTCATGGGTGGTGTGGAAGAAAATAAAGAAGCTGTTTCCCGAAGACAGTATGAGAGCAGATATGCATGAGAGCCTTCTGGTGATCATGAAGTAGACGCCACTGCATTGCCTTAAAAAGGTCATGTGAGCACCTCCCAGCTATGGACCAGTTGCTGGCGATGGAGACATCCTCCTAATTTGGAGTACTCTCGAAAATGGTTCCGTCATTGAAACTTAGAATTGATTTCTTGCAATTGAAGCATCACAATTTCTTTTTTAAATATTATTATTTGGATTGGTCTATTGCTCAAGTTAAATTCTGCTCGAGGTTGAATTTATTTATGTATATTGGACCTCACTGACTTGCTGCGGAATCAAGAAATACGATACTTGAACGAGATTCAACTCAACTAGTTCTTTTTAACTATCTCTTTTATATTTTTGTGACAGCACTAGAAAATGGCAGAGAAAGAAGCTCAGGGAGTAACAAGCAAAATAGTAAGAGTGAGGAGTAAACAGTAGAGGCTTTTTTAACAAGACCCTGCAAACAGTGAAAAAAGTTAAAATGCTACCCTGTAAAAAAATAATAAGAGAAAATAACATTAAAATTTCAATCAAGAAAATTAATTGCCAAAAAATTTCTTGAAGTCTTCAAATAACTAACTAAGAAATCCTAAGAACCTCGAGGGGGGAATCCAAATTCCCTCATCGATTCGATGAGATACTTAATTTGATTTTATTAATTTTATTTGAATTTAATTGTATCTAGCACTATAAAATATTTGAATTTAATTTTAGTGTATCTTGAAGAACTTTTTCAGCAGTACTCAATATTCTAAATTAACTAATTTTAGTGAAAATTTTTGTAGCACATCTGCGTGCACTAAAAATTAATTAATTAATTTAGGGCACTGGGTGTTATAAAAAATTATTTCAAGATGTTAGATACACTAAAAATTAATTATTAATTTAAGATATTGAGTGCTGTTGAAAAAATATTTTCAAATACTGAATACACTAAAAATAATGAATTTAAGACATCAAAAAAAAAATTAAGCATAAGAATATGGATGGGTGTGTTTTTGCGGGCGAGTGGATATATAATCAAAGCCTTGAGAATTTGTAATTTTTGGGAAAAATTTTGCACTCTGGCTGTGCATGAGATGTTTCTTAATTACCAATCATCAAAGTAAATAGAAATTAATATTTTACTATAATACTATTATTGATCCTTGTTATAAGATCCAGTTGACAAATGTGATAAAATTAAGGAATTACATGATCTTTCTAAAATACTTACACACACACATGTATCATTAAATTACATATCAGTTTATAAGCCCAACAAATTAGTTTTAAAAAAATGATCAATATAATATTTATTTAATTTTCTTAATTTTTTTAAATTAGTCGATTGAATCTTATATTAAAGACAGAAGTTAGTACTAAATATTTGAGATTATTTTAATTAAATTGACGTATAACTATTTAAATAATATCTATACCCAAAACTAGTATGTAATATCAACCAAATAATTATTTTCAAAATCACTTAGCATGTGAAATTCAATTCCAATTACAATTTGTTTCTCAAAAGAAGAATATTCAAACAACATATTCTTTAAAAGTAAGCTAGCGCTAAACTTAATTCATAATTACCCATGCAACCCTAAAAATAATATACTGGGATAGCATGAAATAATCATGAGAGTAAAAAAAATTTATAAATAAGCTTACAAATTATAATTTTAAAAAAATTATATTAATAATAGAAAGAACCGCATATAAGAGTTTTAAATGTGACGAACACCTCCTACTTTGATATGATCTTCCAATCAAACATCACAACGTAATCTTCCCACACGTTACATAAAAGGCATCTCCAGAACCACTCACCTCGATCACCTTCCACTTCGATACATCCAAATGTGACGACGTAGCACTAAGTTGTGAATAGCATGTTATTACTGTCAACAAACAAACAAGAAACCAGCGTCTAAGAAGCCGTGGCTTACGTTGTTGTTTCTGCACAATATAGACATAGTAAAATCTCCTAGCCTTGTTGAGAAATGGATAACATAAGTTCCTGTTGGAATTACCTCGTACAACTTGTCTCTGTGATACAAGAGAGCACTGCAATGAAATCCCAGTATGAAATTTTGCTCCGTAATTACATGCAGGAATCAACGAGTAGTGTTCAAGCTGGGAAAAGCTTTTAACAGGTAGCTAAGTTTAGGATTTGGCCATGATCCTCCAAGAACAACTTTGTAAAGAATCAAGGACAAGTTTTCCTCATATTCTTCCGTGCGACGCCATGATCGTAGAATGTAAACTGGGCAGATCGCCACATTCTTAGCTGAGATTGAACAATATGTAGTTTCTTGAAAGAAATAAAAGATGATATGCAAATGGTTTTCATGAAGTGGATATTGTGATTAGGGGAAAAAGAAGAATAGGCGTCTCAGTTAGAAAAAGGGGATCAGGGAAGTCGTCAAATTAGACAAGATATTAATTAGGAGATCTGATCTCGCCATCAATGACGGATCATAATAAGAGCTTTTTAACTGTTTTGTTTGATGGTGTCAAAAGACGGAGTTTCTTGAAATGAATTTTGAAGATGATCAGTACGGTCCAGGATATTGCAGAAGAATTGCTCAAATTCCCAGATGAGAATCATTGTAAAGCAAATTCAATAATTTTTGGGAATTGTCAATTATCTCACAGATTTTATCTCTCATGTATCCAATCACACTAGCCACCTGTCCAAACTTTTCAAAAAGAATCTTTCTGTATGGGGAGTTTTCTATTTTTCTCTCGAAGTTGAACTGTGAGAAAAACAAACATGAGAGGAAATTACCGAGACTATGCGCATTTTCATGGTAGAAAATTGTTTTCCTATATAAAATTTTTGAGAGAAAAACCTGACAGAAAACAAAAAAATGCTACAAAAAGGTTCTAGGAAATCCAGTAACAAATATGAAGTCCCAAAGGGACCTAAGTGCAATTTAATGAAAGGCTAAAAAGACATCTCTGCCCTTGTAAGAAGCACCCAAAGCTGTTGAAAATTTGCTCTATTTCAACCTGAAAATCGACACCTGTTTGCAGAAAGGAAGAGGAAAAAATACCCAAACTTCATCATGTTCTTCCTTACTCCCATCTGAAAATCTTGCTCACTCCACTAATATCAACCATTGGCAAAAACTGCTTGTGTTCTTTTGTTTGATGTGTGTTGGTCATCTAAGTTGGAGTTTTATCATACGTGGATAGAGTGATAATGGGTACTCTATTTCTGGATGTATTGTGGGTGGGTTGAAAACAATTTTGCTCTGTTTTGGTATGATTCAACAAGAATTGATGAAAAAGATGAAGTTTGATGTGGGTTGAAACCCTTATTGCCAAATAAGAGAATAAGTTGTCAATATAGGCCATGATAATTGTCAATAGAGCTCCTTGACTTGTCAGTGATCACTGTGTTGTGCAGGTGTATATTAATTGGTTTGTCACGCTTTTGACACAATGATGATGAGCTTCAATGATGATGAGCTTCCCTTAGCTCATTAGCAAAGTTTACAAAAAGGAGGAAAAACAGGCCATGAATGAGGGTGAGCAGTCACATGAGGCAAAAGAAGAATATGGGCAAAAGAAAGGCCTCTTTGAATTTTTTGTAAATATCATGATATACACAAATAGTTCATTTGATACTAGATATATGCAATTTTATGTTTATTTTCAATGAGTTTTAAAATTGGTGTAATTGCATTTATATGAAGTTGTGAAAGAAAGTTGGCTATATTACATTCTGATGCATAATCAGTTGTTATTATCTGCACCTTTCATTGTCAATGCACCTTTCATCACTTATCACTCAT